GAAAATTATTTGTAGAATTGATGGTATAAATTGAGGTTCTTTCTTAAATATTTAATTTTTAAAATAATAATATGTGAAATATCTTTTCATTCATTTTTTATTTTATGAAATTCAAAGGATAAATTTTTGAAGATAATAGGAAGAATTAGACATAAATTCGTATCTCCATTACCCATAACTATATTAAAAAAATCAACCCTTGAAAATCAATGAAATCAACGATCCCTATCAAGATATATAAGTGGATAGTTTACCCTTTTTACTTCATTCTCAACTTTTTACTGATTTTTTTTATATAAATTAATAAATCGACGATTCGAACTAGATGATAATATCATATTTGAGCGAACAGTTGTTCGACCCATGAGTTTTAGGATGAGATGATAGCGTGAATATATAATTGTTTTTTGAAGATATATAAGTGGGTGATTCGAAATGATGTTCATAAATCTTCGTGGAAATGAAGAGACACACATCTAGTTCATACTATATTTAATTAAGATGATTCATTTCGAGATGTATAAGTATATAGTCTACCTTTTTTTACTTCATTCTCAAATTTTTACTCATTCAATTATTTTATAAATTAATAAAATAAATGAAGTTACAATCTCTCACCATAAACAAAAAAATTATAACCAACAACAAAGCTTTTATATACACTATTTTATTTATATCTATTTTTTATAATAACATAATGGATATTTAATTTGTATGTGTAAAATATTATCATTTTCTTAAATTTTGTATCATTACCTACAATTTATATTTATATATTGATAGTTTGTAAAACATTATTTTCTGTCAACAAGTAAATGATCCAATGGGTTGACCCGAATAACCCATAATTCGACCTGACTGAACCCGAATTAACCCGCAATCCAATAAATCCGTAATTTGATGCACTTGTAACCCGACCCGATCCGTAACCCAATTGACCAGTGACCTGATTGACTCGTAACCCAATTGACCTGCAACCTAATTAAACCCGATCCAAATTGAAACCGACTCGATTGAACTCGCAACCCGATTGAACCCAATCCGGTTAGACCCAATTCGAACCCGACACAATTGACACCTCTATACAAAAGTCAAATAAATACCAAAACAACCAATATCACTACTACTGTGAAATCAAAACAATACCATTCCATAAATAAATCAATACCATTAAACTAAAACTACCAATACAAACAATTTATACCATTACAAGAGTCAACCAATACCAAAATCAATCAATACCATTAAGAAAAACAAACTATACCATTTCATAAAACAAAACAATAAACCAATACCAAAACAAAAAATTACCAGATCATCACCATCTCACCCCCCACCACATGCGTCTCTAGAATTCTACGTACCGCAGGCAATTCCAACAAGTTTTTGATAATGTCTACGTGATTGGAATGTCCCTAGAAGAAAATCCACATGTTCTTGAGGCAAGTTTCTGATTGTTTCTCCGCAACGAGACCACTATTACGCGCCGCCGCAGTTGATGCTCCTGCGAGTCAGATTCTTCCTTTGGGTCGCTATGTGCTCAACGGCAGCAGCAATGGCTCCGCCGGGAGCTCGCTGGAAGATCGGGGGTGGCCGACTGTAGGCGTCGTTGTCGTCGAGGGTGGTTGTCGGGGGTGGCCGAGGGGAGGGGCTAGTGTTGGGGGCCGGCGAGATTAGTGAGACGGAGTGGTGGAGGCGGATGTGGCGAGTTTGGCTAGAGGGAGGGTAGAACTAGGGTTTGGGTAGATTATATAGAATAATCGGGTGTGGTCACTTTTTCATTTCCAAAATTATCGTAAAAGAATCTTGACCATAAGATTAAAAAAGAAGGAAAAATATGAAATCTAATCTTCTTAACTTATATTATGGCCGTTGTGGAGCAAGTTTTTGCCACATAGGACAACGGAAGCTCCACAATTTTCCATGTCATTTTATCATTTTTAACATATTAAGTTATTAGTTACATTAAAATAAAACTAAATAAACATGCATATCAATCAACATCACGAGGATTTGAACCTACGACCTACGAGATCAAACTATCATCATTTCAAATGTTCAACCACCAAGATAAAGTATATTTGATGCTATTAACCACAACAAAACATGTATATCAATCACCATAACTAAGATTTAATCATGCAACCTAGGAGCTCAAACTGTAATCATTTCAATTTTTTAACCAATAGATTAAAATATCTTTCATGCAATTAATCACAACTATTTTTTAACCAATAGAATAGCTATCACCGTTACAATTGTGTATTCTGATAAGAAAATCATTAACATCTACAAATAAATTATTTTTAGTTTATACTGCGTTTCATAATTGTTTATAATTTCTTAAAAATCATTAAAAAACCGAAACATAAATTTAGTTGGTACACAATTATAAACTTTTACATAATTTGACAAGTGATTTTCTTTGAAAATTGAAAAATGAAAATTAAAGAATAATCTTCTTCTGCATTCTAGAACACGGAGAATTTAACATTTTGTTTGTACGAACTACTATAAATAGGTGAACCAATGTAGTTATGTTGCAATTTGTTAGAAAATACTTACTATAAATATCTGAAATATATCAACATAGTTCAGTCATATGCTACAGTTATATATACACAAAATTTCATGTGTTTAAGAATATCACTAGACACCAATGGTCACCATATTCTTTTGTATATTTTTCAAAACCGAATTATGGTTATATGATTTAATATGTTTGTGACCAATTGGTGAAAGAAGTTACAAAAAAAGTAATGTACATATACATCATGCATTTGTCATTTTTAGGATTGAATTTGGCATTTCTCGCATATTAAAATGATATCATTATCTTTTTTTTTATGTTATTCCAACTTCTTTCTCTTTTCATTTTCCGTACGTCATTAAATATTCTTCCATGCACAATTATAAAAACAAATTGTCATTACTTTTTTCCTAATGTAATTATAATTCCTTTCTTTTCTCTTTTTATTGTTTGACATAAGTTCATTTCTTTTCCCTACATGAGTGTAGATGTGCAACTTTGAGTCATATTTAGATGAATAACACCTAAGTCAAGCAAGATTTGTAAACGAATCTTAAGCTATTGGATATATGATGGTTGATATGTAAATAACTATTTTAATCCTTACTTGATGTGACACCCTAATACATATATTACTATTACTATTTTTAGTAACCAGTTATACTTACCGGATAACCTTACTCATAAGATAATGATCTATATCTTCTCCGTTACCTTTAAGAGTATAGTTCAAAATGACTTATTGTCCCTCCCATTGACCATGGCAAAACATGGAGTATTCAGTTTCCCGTCACCCACCTCTCAGACCTTATTGGCTTAACTTAACTATCAAGACACATCCGATATGCTATATCTTATTCAGTCAAATAAACATCCATTCATCACCACATGCCATATCACATTCATCATCTCAAACTCAAAGAATTCATACATCAAAACATAAGGACCATCACCCAATCTCTTGATAACTCACTATTTAAACATGTATGCATCAAATATCACATCATACTGGAATTACCATGTTACCCCTGTCCCAACATAGCAAAACATCATATCATCCAATCTTAAATCATAGTATAAAACACCATAGAAAACCATCATCATCGACATGCACATTTCATATATCACATCATAGAAATTCACCACTTAACCACATCAGAAGTAATATTTATACAATGATTTAATCACATGCATGGTTAGGTTCATTGCATTTTACATCTTAATTTGCCAAGTCATACACTCCTCGGGTAGTATAGTAGATGACATGCATACCCCCACAGATCGTACCTAGACTGGTGTCCTATAAATCCATTGCGGATCATACCCTAACCGATGTCATATATACCAGGGTGGGACGTCCCCGGACTGGTGTCCGGTAAAATCAACGCAGGATCATATCATGACGATGTCCTATAAATTCAGTTTCTATACTGACTGCACAACATAGCGCTTTTATGTTTGTATTAAGTTATCGCACAATTCCAGTTACAGTCGATCACATATTAAATATTGGAGGATAATGTGAAGTGAAGACAAAGTGTCTCCATAACTAACATTTGCTTTGGTATCATTTGTACAATGTTGAAGGTAAGAAGCATAGCATAATAGTTTGGTTGTACTTTGATATAATGGTGGAAAAGGCTAGCGTACACTCGAGGTGTAATATGCATCTTCATTCATACCTATTAGTTGTATGTTAATATATTTTGACAAATAAGAATCAGTGGTTATTATTTTTCATTAAATAAATCGTGCGATTTGGATTAGAGAATTAAAGACTGCGTTTCACCAATTAGAGAATATGGTATAACATCATGTGTCAAACTCCGTTAATTCATGGTCTAAATACCAACTCTATAGGAGTACGGTAAGGTGGCGTCCACAAGTTTAAACCATGTACAACTTATGAAGTTGACAATTGCCGGTCAATCAAAGATCTGATGGTCATGAATAATATTTTCTAAGCGGTGATGAAGTTACATCGTTGTTTGACTTTATTGTTGATCATCATTAAAACCTAGAGTAAATGTAGCGCCCCTCATATAAGATAAGCCAGTTATAATAGGTAACAATCATAAATAAATATGAAAAGTAGGAATCTGATACCATTGGAAAAATGACAAATAATAGAAGGAAAAATACAAACAAATGAACTCGGGCGGGCACAAAACTAGTGTTATATAAAGAGGTTGTCAATGCGATTAATAAAAAAACAAGTAATCAGCCTAACCCATTCCTTAGGGAGGCTAAAACCATATTCGCCTCATACATCTCAAACATTTTACGGGTTTTACACATATTCCCCTCCATGCCTAGTTAAGGCAGGGGCAATCGGATATCCATGGTCATGGGAGGCTAAAATCCTATTGGCAAAAAAAAACTGTTAGGAAAAAAAAATCCACCCCAGTCGAGCTGATAACCGTTCTCGCTACATTCGTTCATCTGCGTCTCTGGGCGTGTTTTCTATACAACTCTCTACTCCACACTGATTAGTGTTCAACCAGAGTCGCGGCTTTCGGTGGAACAATTCAATGGGGTCGTCACTGCCAGAGTTGAACTTGAAACGCGATCACCAGGATGAAATCCAGGTAGGTACCCAGATCGAATATGTGTTTCCCTCTACGTTGTCGATGAATCGTTTACTCTAGCGACGGAGAAAAAGTTATATTCGATCTCATATACTGTCGCACATTTAGGGTTTCTCGTTGCCTTCGATTCATTTGTAACCATGGAAATTCTGCATCCTAATCGGCTCTCTCATTTCTTCTCAATACGAATAGTTTTGGCCTAATCGATCTCAACTGTTGCATAATCATATGGGTTGTTTTGTTTCTCCAGGCTTTTAGAATTGTAATGATGGTTTAGGGTTAGTTTTGGTGAAAAGGGGATGAGAAGAATGGATTCTTGTTGCTGCAGGAAGATATTCTCATGGAGATCTTCTCTCGGCTGCCAGTGAAAACCCTATTCCAATTGCAGTCCGTCTGCAGGCGCTGGAACACCATCATTAATTATACTAGCTTATTACCCGGCCCGTTGGCCGGAATGTTTTTTGATTATTCATATTTTTGTGTTACGTTTAAATCTATCAACCCGTTTAATTTTATTGACAATCTGATAAATAAAGAAAAAATATATAGGTTGAATATTCGTAGAAATACCATCATCATTTAAGAATATCAACTATAAAAATATATAATTTATCCCATTTTCATAAAGATAATTAAGCCCTCGTTAAAATGTTAGTGGTTAGTTGATTGTCAAGAAAGATAGACTATAAAAACTCACTGGAATTTCTCACACGACCCATAGATAGTTTGAAGCTGAATCTGAAACATCACAATCCTATATAAAGGGTTCAGTACTTTCCTTTTAAAAACAATATGCACTAATAAAAAAAATGAAGAGTTGTTGATTCAATTCAACTATATACTAACAATTCAATTAAAAGAGAATTGTCAAAACTTAAAAGTAAATTACAAAATTAGGGTTACTGATTATACAACTTAGAAAGTAGTAATATGATTTGACAACAAACCTATGTTCAGAAAGCGGGTTGAGTTTCTAACCAGTCCACTAACCCCTTTCATGAAAACAATCCCACAATATTACTTTTCTTTTCGAAATTTAATTTTTCATTAGCACCCATAAAAAGTTACTAACTTTCCAAAACCCCAAACAACAAAATATAATTTTTGTTGTGAGAGGAGCAGACATAAAATGACATTCGGGAATAAAAAGTATGTGTTCACATAAAAATTACTTATATTTATTTTCATTTTTTTAACATAGTCAAGACCAAATGAAAGTCCGGATATAAAGTAAAAAAACATAACTAAACCATTTGAAGTAGTCGACTCGACTAATCACAAACTCCCTATGAAAGTATTTTACTTTCGATTCCCTATAATTTTCTGTCTCTTGGGGAGAGTGGCATAGTTTTTCTTTAACGATTCTCACCAAGCAATTTAGATGAGCTTTGTAATTGGACAACGACGATTTTAATCATGGGTAGTAAAAAAATAGAAAGGGATCTTTTGATTCTTCATAGAAACCTGCTTGGCTTTCTCGGTGGGGTTAGAACATGAGCCCAATTTTAAGAAAAGCCTGCTGGGCTTTATGGCCGGGCTTAATAGAGGCTTGAAGTATGGAACCGCCAAATTGGTTTTGGCCAAAACCTGTGCTTTTCGGCGGGAAGAAACAAAAATAAAGAGACGAATGGACCATATTACCCCTGACGAAAATTAAAGGGAGAGCTCCATTTTTTGAATGGTGAAAAGTCTGTAAAACTCCACCATTAATTATTTTATTGATTGCCCCATAGTGGCTTCCATGCACCTGACCAACTAATAATGGTTGTGTGAAGAAAATCAGTCATCTGGAAGTCCCGATGCAGGTAATCTCCGGACGGGATACTCTTGCTGGGTAATCCTCAGCAAAGTAGTTAAAATCGGGATTTTACCTAAAATCGAAAACTGGGGTAAAATCGGAATCGCAAAATCGAATTGTAGAATCGTAGGATTTTAAGTACCATATAGAAATTAACATATAATAATATTAATAAGGTAAATAATTAATAACACAAAGATTTATAACATTTAAAGTGATAATTTTCAAGATTAATGTTCCAAAATCATCATTTTAATTGTTGTTTAATGCGTAACCCAAAATAATTTATGAGGAAGGGATAGAGCTCATGGGGTTTGGCTCTTGTTTTTCATGTTGTGTCTAGGTAGTTTAACTCAAAGTAGTATTCCGACATCGTCTACTAAGCATGATTTAAAACTAAGAATGACTGAAATCCAATAAAATAATTAATGTCATTGGTTTGGTACAAATATATTCATTAATTAAATAATTTGTTAATAATGATGTTAATTCTTACGCACTTACAATATTCTGACAATTGTTTTACCGATGAGTTAAACAAGGAGAAGGGAAAGGGGTTGACCGAACCCTAATGAGTTTTTCTTCTTCTTTTCAAATGTTCTTTTAATAGGAAAAATATATGAGAAGATCCCCGCCATTGCCCTTTCCACCGAAAAAGTTCTGCTTCTTTTGAATTGGCTCAAGCTCCCTATTTAGTTCACATAGGATCAAAATCCCGATTTTGGTACGATTCTACGATTTTAATCCCGATTTTGAACGATTTTAAGGTCCACCGATTTTATAGTAAAATCAGGATCGGAATCCCTAAGTAAAATCCTAAAATCCTACGATTTTACGATCAAAATCCCGATTTTGACTGCATTGATCCTCAGGATAGCTGTGATTCTGCACTTACTGTTGGGACGAATAGCTTTGAAAAGCTATAAATGAAATTCCTAATTAATTATCCAGTAAATTTTATGTTCGGTTTCTAACAATTACCCTATGGAATCCATCAACTGGGCGATTTAGGAAAGTCGCGGTGCCGCCCTGCAATCAGCCCCAGCAGAAAAGGGAAATTCTCTCGACATAGCTATGGGTTTGGAACAGGTAAAGGGGCTGCTGATCCTTCTGATTCGTCACTTCAGCCTCGGGCATTGCTCCTCTTCAATTCCTCCTCCGACGAGCGTCCTGCACAAGTGAGCTGGAAGATTTCAAGCATCAGGTCGAGATTGTTCGATTTTTGGAGTGTTATGCGCGTCTCCTGTCGCAGCATTGGAGTTCGATCTCACGAACGAAGTTTTCGCTCTGCTCTGCTCCTGTCAGGCAACTCGTCATGTACAGGGGTTCCCTCGTACTGTGGTGGTGCCTTGCAACTTTGGGCTTCACTAGTGGGCTGGGCTAGATGCTGTAAAATCTTTGTTCACGACTGCAAGCCCTCATTCCTCGGCCCAAGCCCCTTTAACTCCTACACATATACTAGACAGAGTTCTTCGCATTTCCTCTTCCTTCAAGTAAAGAAGAGATGAGGGGGAAAAAGGTTACGTAGCAAAAAGCAAAGTGGATGGTAGTCTAGTCTTAGTCTAGTGGGTCAGGCAACAAGAGAGAGCAAATGGCTCATCAGATAAGCTAATTGACAGACAAGCACGAGAATGTCTGCCATGAATGGGAGAGGGAAAGGGAAAGGGAAAGGGAAAGGGAAAGGGAAAATTCGTACCAACTGCCATCATCTAGTCATATTCCAAACTTCCTAGCAAGCGAAACTGATCATCACCTATCAATTTGAGCTTGTGATTTTTGCAGCTTCCATGGCAACGGATGATAACTAGAGTAGGGTTCTTGATCTGGAGGTGGATGCATGTCCCAATGGATCATACTCATCAACAACCATCAGCTGATCATACAGTTTCTTCAACCATAGAGCTTCAAGAGAGAACACAAAAGCTTGTTTGTGCCTGCCAATCACATGTTGGCTCTTTCCACTACTTCCCTTCACCGTTCCCCTACTTCCCGTCAAAGAACCAAAAGCATGGATTCTTCTTCTCAAGCCAACACAGTTGAACATTATCAATGGTCATAAAGAAAGAAAGCCTGATAAGAAGACTTCTTTAACTTTCTCTTTACCTGTTTCTGTTGTTGTTCAAGGGTTTCTGTTTATCATGTGAATTTACTTCTACCCTTTTGTTTATCCAGATTTATTTCTCAGGAATTCTGCTGCCAGAGTTTTGGTCACGACCTGTGTGACTAGATTGGGATTGGGTTGTCCCGCATGATGGGAATGTATATAATCTGACTTCTGAGTGAATGAATCATGAAGAATGAGAATGGTCCAATCCTTTTGTAACATAGTAGATACGAGAGATCCACTCTCCATCTCCAAGCCCTTATCCTGACCTGCAGTTGCTTTGAATTTCATAACAGTTGGATCCAAAATTGATTGACAATGTATGTCTCCAGCTACCCCTTTGACCCCACTTTCAGGACATGGTCCCTAAAAGGCTGGAATTCCATATATACTGCTTCTCCAACTTCTGCTGCCAATTTAATGTCCATTTTTGAAAACCCATCTAGCAAAAGAAACTATTTGAAAGGTCCCCTTTTCTGTTCTGATGGGGAAAGAAGAACAGAACCAGCAGAGGAGGTCATGATTCAATTCCGTAAAACCTGCAAACCTTGAGGGCAATTTTGAAGTTTAGAAAAAATCATGTAATGGATGCTAAATATGGCTAAACAGGAAGCTTTTGTTGCTTTTGTAAGAAGGAAGGAATATTAAATCATGGTGGAGTTGACAGAAAGATGAGATGGCAAATATGCATTTGGTATAGCATGCTGCTGCTTGGGAACAGGAAAAAGCTAAAGATGTATAATGGTAATGATGATCATAATGACTCAAAATGATGATGATGGAGGAGGAGGGGCCAAACAAATTATGCCCATTAACCAACCTCCCTCATCATGTAAACCAGGAAAATGCCTATAACTGTCCTATGTTGGACAAAATTCAGTTGATCATTCATAACATATAACACTTCTCTTTCTTTGTGTACTATTCTCCATTCCTCCCCCTGCTCTGTGAACAGGTTGTTAAGATGGAATGGTCTGCCTTGGCCTAGCTCCACCACCAGCAACGCAACAGCAATCGATTGATTGATCTTTCTGCAGGGGAAATAGTTGGGAAGACTGGTGAAAAAGACAAGTAATGATTTCTTCCAACTATAATTGGAGGCAGAAAAAAGGAGTGCATCAACTAAGGAAAAACCTTCAGAATATCATCTTTGTCAATTGGTTTACAAGGTAGGGTTAAATTCAGATCACTGCTGTCGAAAAATATTGCTGATCCGGGAACTTTTTTAGTTGTTAAAATTTGGGAACTTGGAAGTTCATGCATTGTATTGTACAGACAAGAACCTGACAGACAAGTGGAAATCTGGATTCAATCAGAATTTCCCCCCAAGTCAATTATTATTTCACATGGAAGAACAGGCTTGGAGAGAAGCATCAAGGATCAGAATTCTGATGCCGGCTTTGGATAATAGGGCCAAAATCCAGATGGGTTTTGGCCCAAATAATGCCTGCAAATTGGAACCAAGTGAAGAGAACCACGCATTTTGCCAGATTGATAATTCCTGATTTTGATTGATTTCCAT